CCCCCCCCCAAGTTACAAGAGTTTATTTTATGGTTTTAGTCAACTGTAATAACCCTGGTAATAAGTTTTCAATCTTTATTTTCTACATCCAGATTTTGTTTTACTTTTGTAAAATATTTGTTACTGTAAACTCTTCCTCTGAGCACCCCACCCTGCCTCTGCTCTCCTTCTGTCTTACACTCATGCACACTTCTTCATAGGTATCTATCCTGCGCAGTACCTCCATCATCCTCAATCCCTCTACAGAGATGGATGTGACCCTGCAGTTTCGAGGTTTCATTCATCCCTTATGGGGTGCCCCTCAGGAAACTGTTGCCATGTGGGCTCGAATACAAAAACTCCACTTTACTGCTCAGATGGCTGCTGGACCCAACTCTCTTCAACTGGTATGGGAAATCACAAAATCAGGTTTCCTCTTTTAGACAAGAAAGGCATGGCATAAAGTCTCTTGAGGCATGTAACTTGCTAAGTCTCTTCTAAACCTTTCTTCCGTGCAGATGGATGTGCTGGGACGGTGGTCTGCTCAGGAGGAGAAGGAGATCCGTAGGCTATCCCGGCCAGATGGTTCCCGTCTGTTCCAGAATCTTACACGAGGAAACTGGTACCTGATCCAGGCGGAGGGCTACCTGAATAACTCTGCATCAGGACAGACTAGTGAGATGGCTCTTACCTGGAACCGCACAGCTTTACCTGGAGGCAGCGTAAGTGTTTATTACCTAACAAAGCAACTTAAAAGTAGACTCTCATTCATATTGTGCATTTCTTCATTTGACATAATTTTACTTCTGTATTTTTATGCAATTTTAGGGTTGCAACTAGTGCAATACTAGTGAAATTTCATAATTAGGTGATTTCAAAAAACATTTGAAACCACTTGAAAGCATCAGAACTGTAGTAATCTGTGCTTTATTAAATCACATTTAAGTTGTTGTTTTTATTACAAATATTTTATGTTGCATGTAGGATTTAAAATTTTAATTCTGATAAATTTATAACCCAAATTTAAAATAAATAAATAAAATATTAAATAAATTATTTAATATATTAAAATATATTAAACAAACTACATTATATAATGAATTATACAAGCGTAACAAGTCAGAAAGAGCTTTATTGAAAAGTATGTTTGCACATATAGGGAATTTGTTTTAGTGTCACAAGCTTTCAGTACACAGAGACAACAACAGCACACAGATAATAAAAAATGTTATGTGAATAAAATACACATGTATATATAAATAAACAAAAAAAAGAATAGAAAAATAAAATAAAATAAATTGTATGTACAGGTGTGCTATAGAAACAGTAATTTTGTGCTATGTGCAATAGATAAAAATTATACAATGAACAAAATGATTGCAACCTAACTAATTATTTTTATTATTGATGTTATCTTTAGTCCCAGTCCTATAAACTTTCTACGTGCACTATAATATTTAGGTATTATCATATAATGCTGTTCATTGCTCTTTTACATTCTTTTCTTAATTTTCAACATTTTCTAGGAGATTTCTTTCCTGTTCCTCGAACCCTTCCGCTCCAATTCGTGTTCAGAGTACCGCTCATGTTCGGCCTGTCTGTCTGACCAGTCATGCGGCTGGTGTCCCACCATGAACCTGTGTTTTCTGCGCTCTGACTTTGATCAGCAGCCTTGCATAGACTCACAAGGAGAAGAGCGCCACCTACTGCTCAACCCTCAGCATTGCACACTGTGTGAGGAATATAGAGACTGTGCCGCTTGCACTCAGGTACTGCATCCACATCAACATGTCTGAAAGACTGCCATGAGTGTTTTGATCCAGAGCAGCATGCAGTCTGTTTACCAGCTTTCATGGAGTTTCTCTCATGTCTGAATGTTTGTAGGACCCCTACTGTGAGTGGCAGATTAACTCCAGCAAGAAGGGAGATTATCTGTGCAGTCGCCGTGGGAGATTGGAGGGGTCTATCCGGGAACCAGGAGGGTGTCCTAAAGTTTGCAACCAGTGAGTTTGAAGTGATAAACTTATCTATGAATTATTTGGTTTATGTAATATTTGATGAAGCTGAAGGACCTCAAAAAGATATAAACTTTAGTTTTTATATACCATCCTTTTTTTCTCTCTGACAGGAGGTTGACGTGTGGAGAATGTTTGTCTAACTCCAGTCAGTGTGCATGGTGTGAATCTGCTCAGTCCTGTTTCTACTTTGCTGCATACCTCACAAAGTTTCCCTATGGAGAGTGCAGGGACTGGTATGACAGGTAGGTTAGTGCAGCTTCTGCTGTGATTTTAGGTAATTTGTCTGAAAAAAGCTAATGAAATCCCCTGTGTAGTTCACATACACTAGACACTTATAGTGCTTAAAGGTATAGTTCACCCCAAAATTAAAATTCTGTCATTAATTGCTCACCCTTCATGTCGTTCTAAACTCGTAAGACCTTCGTTCATCTCCGGAACACAAATTAAGATATGTTTGCTCTCTGACCCTGCATAGACGGCAACAAAGCTGAAATGTTCACAGACCCAGAAAGGTAGTAAGGACATCGGTAAAACAGTCCATGTGACATCAGTGGTTCAACCGCAGTTTTACGAAGCTATGAATACTTTTTTTGTGCAAAGAAAACAAAAATAATGACTTTATTCAACAATTCTTCCCCTCTAAATCACGTCCTCCACCATTATCGAGAGTACCTCTACCTCTGCACATAAACAACGCATGCGCATGTTGCTGCAGAGGAACGCACCTCTTGTGTGGTAGTATTCTCCATAATGGCGGAATACCTGATTTGGAGGAGAAGGATTGTTGAATCAAGCCGTAATTTTATTTTCTTTGTGCACAAAAAGTATTCTCGTAGCTCTGTAAAATTGCGGTTGAACCACTGATGTCACGTGGACTGTCTTACCGATGTCCTTACTACGTTTCTGGGCCTGGGAACATTTCAGTTGCGTTGCTGTCTATGCATGGTCAGAGAGCTCTCGGATTTCATCAAAAATATCTTAATTTGTGTTCCGAAGATGAATGAAGGACTTACGGGTTTGGACGACACGAGGGTGAGTAATTAATGACAGAATTTTAATTTTTAGGTGAACTATCCCTTTACTAATTAAAACTGGATACACTCCTCAAATGAAGAATAAAATATGAAGGAAAGCTGAATTGTCTGGAGTAAGGCCATGATTTGGCCAAAAAAAGCATACTGTTTGGTCATATTGCATTTGCAGTTTATAACTTTTAACATCTCTTATTGCTGCTGTTTAGATGTCCAGGAAAATAAACTAAACAAAAAGACTAGATAGTTTACCCCAAAATAAAAATGCTGTCATTATTTACTCGGCCTCATCTCGTTCCAAAGCTGTATGACATTCTTTCTTATGTGGAATATAAAAAAACATGTTCTGAAGAATGTTGTAATCAGACCATTAAACTTCCCATTAACTTCATTGTATTTTTTTGTTCATTTAATGGAAGTCAATGGGAACTGAAACTATTTGGTTACCAACATATCTTTCAAGTTCCATAGAAAAAAGCAAGTCAAACAGGACAAACGTGAGGGGGGGTAAATGATGACAGAATTTTACTAGATTCCTTTGTGTGGTTTAAACTAAATGACTGACTGAACAATTAAAAGTTTTCTAGACCGTTCACTTTAAAAATTTAAACAGTCACAAAATGATTAAACAATGGGCATGGACTTTAGTGTCATTGCCTTACATTTACAATGTTGTTCTTTTGGAACCCAGTCAATGTGAATATAATTACTATAATAAAATTGGATTATTAATGTAATTATTATGATTATAAAAATAAGATCGCAAAATATTACTATTGAATTAATATTCATAATAATGATAATGAATTACAGTATTAGTAATAATAATTTTCTTAATTGCTTTTCCTTCACTAGTGCTTGTTGTATTATACTGCATAGGCTTTTATTGCTTTTGCTGAAAAGTGTCCTCTGCTCTTCTCTCTCCAGTGTTCACTCTGTCCCTCAGTGTAAGCAGTGCTCTGCTCTTGCCACCTGTTCAGAGTGTCTGCAGACGTTTCAGTGCGGCTGGTGTGGAGACTACAACAACCCCACTATCGGCAGGTAGGGTAGAAACGTGTCTGTGAATACAGACACAACCATCAACTTTAGTAACACTTCTCCTGATCACTGTTTTCCTTCTTATATTACATCCTGCCCCTCTGGTTTTTCACAGGTGTTTGAGAGGTGACTGGGGTGGGATGGATGACCCCTCGGCTGTTAACTGTAGTATGGCTGTAGCTGAAGTGAAAGCCAGCAGGTAAGATTAAAACATTTGATACCTAGTGGCTAAATGAATGTGTCATTTGATTTGATTTACACCTCTTCCTTCTTCCATCAGCCCTGAGCCTCAAACTTTATCACCTCCTCGGTTAATGGAGCTCGAGATGGAGATGGAGTTGGAGCTGGAGCTGCTGGAAGGGATGGAAGGAGACGGAGACGCTGTTTGGTCCTACCCATCCTGTCCGGATGTGGAGGAGTGTCGCTTGGGCTTGCATACATGCCATCCCTCCGCTACCTGCGTCAACACCCCAACCTCCTACGAGTGTCACTGTGAGAGAGGCTTCACAGGAGATGGAGTTCACCACTGCAACCAGACGTGAGACTTTCTGTTAACACTGTTGCAAGGGTGGATGTATTTCTTTATTACAGCTCAGGAATAATCATAGTACATCCTTGTAATATATAATCATGTTCACGCTCTCTCAGATGTTATAATGAGTGCCGTCAAGGCCGGTGCAGCGGGAGTCCTCGGTTTGAGTGCGAGTGCTCTTTGGGTTGGACCTCTGATCCAGCCACTCTGGTGCTGAGCGGAGTAGAGTGTGAACATTGAAATTCGCATTTCTCTCACAGGAACAATGGTACCTGTTTCAGGCAGTGTCAGGGTCGCTCTGTTCTGCTTTCTTCATCCTTCTCTGTACCCCTGTCCCTCTCCTCCTCTCTGGGGTGGCATGGAGCAGTCGGTGGCCATGGTGGGCTCTCTCACTGCCTGTGGGTCCTCTCCGTGTCCCAGGATTTGGCACCATGCATGCCAGGGCAGTCATGCCCACCCGTGGCGCTGACCTGGCACCCAGATTCACACACACAGTGCACAGTGAGTTGATTATTCCACATCCTTAATCTGTCAATTACTGTCAAAACAGCATAAAAAATATAGTTACCAGCAATATTTTGACCAGAAATGTTTGCATTTCATTATCCAACAGAACTCGTATGTTTACGTGTTTGACGGCCTGCCACAATTCCTCAGCAATGATGTTGTGCACTCTGACCACAACCTTATTGGAGCATTTTGCGGCACAACGAGAATGGAGCCAATTACTGTTGAGGCTACATCAGGTACTTGACAAAACTAAGGACTGAATAATTGTGTTTTTCTCATCACACACAAAGCAAAGTTAGATATAACTTTCAATGTGGCACCATAGCACCATGTCATGATAAATTGCGTGATTTCTTCTCCTCTAGGGGTGGTATCTGTGTATTTTGAGGCAAATGTTACCTCAGGACGTGCTCAGGGTTTTAATGCCTCGTTCTGGGAGTGTGATGTGGATTGTGGATGTAACTTCCACAGCACTTGTATTACAGCTCCAGGGATCTGTGATCAGTGCCAGGGTAAAGATCTTTCCTGTGTGTTAACCCTCATTTCTCCATCCTTTTAGTAATCATAAGCTACTATATTTTTCTTTCCTTGCTCAGACTGGACAACAGGGCCGCACTGTGAGCACTGCAAGCCTGGTAGTTTTGGCTCTGCTTTGGCAGGGGGTGAAGGTTGCATTCCCTGTCAGTGTAACGGCCATGGTGACGCTCTACAAGGATTCTGCCATAACCAGACCAGCCAGTGCTACTGTACCCACCACACCCAAGGCCCACACTGTGAATCTTGCCTGCCCGGATACTATGGAGATCCCAGGTAAGTCTGAGAATTAGCTCTGTTTATTCGGTGAGGAAAGTGTCCTCAAATTCAAGGGCAGATGAAAATGTGGCATAAACCAGGGGTTTTCATTTGGGTGTCTGCTGATTATTTGATCTCAAAGTTAAAGGGATAGTTCACCAAAAAATGAAAATTGTCATCATCATACCAATTCTCTCTCTCATGTTGCTCCAAATCTATTTTTTTTTCTTCTGTAGAAGTTGTTTTGGTAAAATTATGGTAAGCAGTTCCATAATATGGAAGTCAGTGGGATTTTTGGCCTAATCGTAAAATACAACACTCGGTTTTATACAATATGTAACTGTCACAGGTTAACCTGGTGACTCTATAAACTTGGACTTACAAACATACACCCATGTCACTGATACTGTGCATTGCCGGCATTATTAACATCTGTGTACACCTCAGGAAAGTTTTATGGAGTTTTTGTTTTGTTTAGTCTAAAGTTTGGTTCTGGGTGAAGCGATGTGGAAATGCAAGTTCTGGAGAGGGTACAACCGTCTCACTCGAGTGCCAGGCAGGAGCTCAGTGCGTAAACAGGCTCTGTGAATGTCCCCATGGTTTTGGTGGTCCACAATGTGACCGTCCTGTCTGTCCAGGGAATTGTGGAGCAGAGGAAGGCAGAGGCATTTGCAACATGGTGTGTGACATTCTTATTGCAGCCAGTTGTTTCGCTTTAGAGCATAAGAAGCACACTAAAATGCATTTTAGGTATATCCCACCTTACATGTTTGCATATGCTTTTACAGACCCTTGGCCTGTGTGTGTGTAAAGAAGGCTGGGCTGGATCAGACTGTGCTTCTATCTCGGACTCGGACAGCCTGGTTTGGGAAACGTTGCTTGACACTCAGCTCTCTGCAGTGAGATTAACTCTCTCCTTCAAGACTATAGAAATGAGACTCTGTTCTTACAGGCTCTCTCAATTTTCGGTTTCATTTCCTCCCACAGAATAAGGCACACAGGTTCCTCCAGAGGATGGGTCACTCCCTAGTGTCCGGGCCACAGGGCACTCTTTGGATTTATGGAGGCCTCTCACTCCCAGAGGGCATCCTGGGAAATGTTTACAGGTAAATTCTTGTATATTGTACTTGATGTAAATCGTTTTTTATACATATTTCTATAATACATTTTTATTGGTCTAGGTATTCCGTGGCTGATCGTCGCTGGACTCAAATGTTGACCAGTTCAGTGGAGGAAAATACAATGCCCCTGTCCCGATACCATCATGCCTCTGCTCTGGTGTATAATCATGACCCGTTTTCTGGCTCCCAGGCAGCCACTCACAGTTTAATGTTTGTGGTTGGTGGGGTCACAAAGAAAGGTGTTGCAAATGACACATGGTGTCTGAACCTCAGCAGTCTGGTGTGGAAGCAGTATAAGGTATCGCATGTTGAATATCCTCACAGTGCTCTTGTGCTCCTCTTCAACTGTGTTAAGAGTGTTAACTGACATCTGTGTTTAGAGCTCAGTGCTTCCCCCTGTGGCTGGACATACTCTAACTGTGCGAAGAGGCTCATCTGTGCTGCTGATTGGAGGTTACTCACCAGAGAATGGCTTTAATCATCATTTGCTGGAGTTTAATCCTCAGTCTGGGAACTGGACTATCGCTCCACACACTGGCACACCCCCTACAGGTAGAGATTGAACACTGCACTTTTTCTGGCACAGTTGGGACATTTTGTCTGACAATTAATTGTCTTACAAATAATTGCACTTAACAATTTAATTGCCTGTTTTGTTCACTTAAAGTTTAAGCTTAATACCTGTACACATCATGAAGAAATAATTTATCGAAATGGTTTACAATAAAGTAGTTTTTTTTTTTTAGGTTTTATAAACAAATATACTGTAGTATGCTATAGTATAGTATACAGAAGTATACACTACAGTTAAATTTTTTTTTTGAAGAAGAAATTAATACTTTTAGGAGGAGTGCATTGAATTAATTTAATGAAAGACTTTTATAATGTTGCTAAAGATTTCTGCCAAGTAAATGCAATTTCATAAGCACCACATCAGCATATAAGACTGTTTTCTGAAGGATCATGAAGACTGGAGTAATTTTAGCTGTGATGTCACAGGAATAAATTACATTTTAACACAGTTATTTTAAACTGTACTAATATTTCACAATATTACAGTTTTGCAGTATTTTTGGTCAAATAAATGCCACCTCTGTGACCATAAAATACTTCTTTGAAAAATATATTTAAAAAATCTTACTGTCCCCAGACGTTTGAACGATAGTGTAGCTAGTAATATTTTAAATCTTTACAAATGTTTCAGATTTCTCTAATGGGTTCACTTAAGCGATTTCCTTTTCCCATTGATGTTTTTGAAACACAGCCAAAAACAAATAAATATAATAATTTTTATTTATTGTTGTTATTGTCTTGAATTTTACAATATTATTCAATTGGGACATATTTCTATCCTAAATTCTTCACTTTCTTCACCAATAACGGGGAAAAGTTTTTGCGATCACACCAATATTAAAATGAAGTGAAACAGCTCTACACTCTGATTCAATTCCTCTTCTGTCTTTCACGTTTTCAGGTCTTTATGGCCACTCAGCAGTGTATCATGAACAGACTGATGCTGTGTATGTGTTTGGTGGTTACCGTTTCCATGTTGAAGCTGTAGAACCTTCAGGAGAACTTTACAGTCTTTATTACCCCAATCTTACTTGGTCTTTACTGGTGCCCTCTCAGGGAAACAAGGTAACTATAACAAACAAACAAATGGTGGGCAGAATGATGAATGTTATTAGCAGTTTGGCAGATAGATGACCCTAATCATCTCTCTCTTTCTCCAGCCTCTCTCACGTTTCTTCCATGCGGCAGCTTTAGTGAAGGACACCATGGTAATTGTTGGAGGCAGGACAGGGGAAGAGGATTATAGCAACACAGTTTCTCTCTATCAGATCAACTGTAACACATGGATACTGCCAGGTAAAAGTCATGTCTGGATACAGTATATTAATTATGCACTTGGTAACACTAGTCTGTGTTTACTGACAGAATGGTGTTGGCCTTTTCTTGTACCATTTTTCTAGTGTCCTCGGTGGGTGAACCTGTAAACCGTTCGGTTTCCTTGGCTATGACTGGGTGGGGTGGCCGTCTGTTTCTGTCTGGAGGTTTTAATGGAGTGACGCTGGGGCGACTTTTGACTCTTTCCTTGCCTAGTGATCCCTGCATCCTGCTGCCCACCCCTGAGGCCTGTAACAGCAGCACTGGTAGCTGTGTGTGGTGCAGAGGTACCTGTGCTTCATCAGACACTGCAGAAAGGTACTACAGGAACTACTATCATCTTTATTCACAGTAGGCTACTATGGTTACCAGAATGTTTTTTTTTTTTTTAAATGACTATATGTCTTCTCTTTTTTTTATAGATTGGGCTGTGCTATTGGACAGGCTACCTGTTCTCCCACTCCTCGATCCCTAGATCAGTGCCGCAGACTCAAGACCTGCAGCGAATGTCTGGCCCGCCATCCTAAAACATTTTCCGGCTCTATGCAGGTACGATCATCACAGCACAATCCAAAGTACTCCCATGGTGTAGTATTTTAAGACTGAGCTATTTAGTAAAAGCACTACATAGCCAAACTGTATCTAATTAACAGATTTAGGCTTTTTATGTGCAGTGAAAAATATGAAATCATATTGTGTACAGTATTGTTCAAAAGTTTGTGGTCTGTAAGGTTTTTTTTTTTTTTGGTAAAAAAATATTTTTGAAAAGTCTTTTATGCTCACCAATGCTGCATTCATTTGATCAGAAAATACAGTAAAAACAGTGATGTGAAGTTTTAAAATGTATTTATTATTTCTGTGATGGCAAATGTTGAATCGTCAGCAGTCATTACTCCAGTCTTCAGTGTCACGTGATCTTTCAGAAATTATCTTAATATGCTGATTTGGTGCTCAAGAAACATTTCTTATAAATATCAATGTTGAAAACAGCTGCTTAATATTTTTTGTGGAAACTTAATACATTTTTCAGGATTATTTGAATAAAAAATTAAGAACAGCATGTATTTGAAATAGATTTTTTTGTAACAATGTAAAAGTCTTTTTGATTTTTACTCTGATTTAGCATCAATTTTAATGCGTCCTTGCTGAAAAATGTATTATTTTCTATAAAAAATCTTACTGACCCCAAAATTCTTCTTTTTTTTTTTTTCTGAAAAGACACATTGCCACACTTTCTAAGATCAATAAGATCAATAGGAAAGATTTAAAACTTCTTAGTTAAAGCTGATCTTATAATTAAAAAAAATGGCATGAAATTCTCTCCATCTTTCAGCCTGCTCTTCAGTGTAAGTGGTGCACAAACTGTCCTGAGGGAGCATGTATCAGCAGCTCAGTAAGTTGCACATCAGAGCATGACTGCAGGATAAACCAAAGAGAGATCTTCCTCTCCAGTAACTGCACTGAGACCAGCTGTGAGGCTTCTGACTGCCCCAAATGCACAGCTTCTGGGAAATGCATGTGGACACGCCAGTTCAAACGCACAGGTGAGAGTGACCACACAATGAGCACTATTCTGTGGAGCCATTAACAGGACACGCTGAAGAAAAAAATATGAGATGGGAGGAAAAGTTATATTTCAAAGATTTTTGATTTGTTTTCAAAACTTCAGCATTCTCTTGTGAAAGTATTACGCTCACTGAGAAACTGTGTTTGCTTGAAAAAAATGTAAATATAAGATTTTCTCCCACCTCATATAATTTCCATCACCATTTTTGCGCTCTCTTGCAGAAATGTGGCCTTCCCCAGAGAAACAAATCCCACAGCCAGTGTTTCTTGGGAAATGCAGAAGTTTTACAAATTTACACATCTTTTTATATGAAGGCTAGCAAAAACTTCTTGTGTTTTGATTCTTGGTTTAACCATCCAGGTGAGACCAGACGTATCTTGAGTGTGAACCCAACTTACGACTGGACGTGTTTCAGCTATGCCTTGCTTAACGTGTCTCCCATGCAAGTGGAGTCCTCTCCACCAATGCCTTGCCCTGAACCCTGCCATGAAATCAAAACCTGCAGCCAGTGTTTAAGCTCTCGTGGCTCTGATGGAGGCTGGCAGCGCTGTGTATGGAGCATGGCACTGCAGCAGGTAACATTTTCATAAAGTTTGTTCCAACTCCATAACTTTCTACAAGATGTCCTGCCAGTAACCTCGTCCCCTGTCCTCTTTCTTATCCAGTGTATGAGCCCCTCCTTTGTTCCATTGCGCTGTGAGGCGGGTCAGTGTGGCCGTTTGCTCGCGGATGAAGACTCCTGCTCTCCCCAGTGCTTCCAGCTCACTCAGTGCTCTCAGTGCATTTCCAGGCCACAGTGTGGCTGGTGTGCTGTCCGTGATGGAAATGGGGCAGGACGCTGTCTTCAGGGAGGACTGAATGGTACATGTATTTATATCTTTCTGCAGATTAAGATTGTGAAAATAATAACACTGAATTTATGATTAGGTAATGAATAGTGAAACGTTTTAGAAGGCTAAATTGTTGGATGGTTTCATGTGTTAGATCGGTTGTTCATTATTGCAGAAATGATGGGGACAGTCATAAATTAATAATCTTGAGCCACAAGAAGGCACAAATTTGTTATTCTAATGTGTTGGTAAGGGAGAGAGGATGAAGAGTGAAATGAGAGACAAAAAAGTAGTACTAGTGTGTTGCTGTTAAATATCCTGTTATGTACAACATACAAAAGTATTTGAGCCGCTCATTGACGTGATTCAGCAATAAGAATCCAGTATCACAGAGATATCTATAGAGTGCAACAGTACACAACCCCATTTTTTTCAGCGTCCTTTGTTTCAGAAGTATTTTTCCCATTCATTTGTCCCATAGGGATTTTAATTTTATTTTTAGGGTCTTTGTTAAAGAGTTCTAAGCAACGAACCAAACCTACCAGCAAACCAGGTGAACCACAACATAACTTTGATTTGATGCAAATTGTATTTGAAAATCTGTCAATAAAGGAACAAAACTGTGTACTTAAGGGGTTTAATGAAGGAAAGAACTACAATCCCATGAAGCATTGTGAATGACAATCAAAGTAAAACAATATATTTTACATTTATTGCAAAATATGCACAATTGCACATATATATATATATATATATATATATTCTTCGTAGACATCCTTAATCTCTTAACTCCATTCTGCTGTCTGTTGTTGGTGTTTCATTGTCTGAATATGGCACTTAACACATGCTGTGTGGTATCG